AACAGATTTTGTATCTCCATCATGGTGAAGTCGGCGTCTAACCACAGAGAGCAGCAAGGTGCTTCCATTAGAGAGAGATTCTAGGTCAGGAATGCCATTATTTCATCTCAAACAGTGCTACTTGAGTATGGTCCAGAAATGCCCAGTGGGATGTTCACCTGGGAGCTTCTCAGAAGTAGCAACTCTGCACTGAATAAGAATCGCATGGGGTTGGGCCTGGGAACCAGTATTTCCACATGTCCTACCTAGAATAGGTGAGTTATCCATGCTCAAATTGAACAAACACTGGTCTAAAATAGTACTCTAGAAATAATAAGAGTTTGAATTAAGGGAATAAGTAGTTATTAAGTGATTAGAATGGGTGACACAGGGTTCGAACTGACAGGATGTGGTGCTTGAACAAGAGTGAGACAGACTATCAGGGAAGCATCAGAGCTGTGCAAAAAAAGACAAATTCAATTACAGGCACAGCAGGAATTGAGGCAAAGTGAAAATAAAAGTACTGTATTTCATCCTATAAAAAAATTCTTAAGCCTAATGATATTTCTAGGAGGTAATATGAAATTAGAAGAAGCTTAGCAATGGGCAAAGCCAGAGCAACAGCATATGGAAGGGGCAGGCAGAACACTTGGCCGGCAAAGGAACATCACAGAGGTAGCAGAAGTGGCAAAGAGATGGTGTCCTGCAAAGCAAGGAAGGAGAAGGTTCTCAGAAAGTACGAATGGTCAACACCACTGTAATTCTGTCTTTTCAAAGAGGAACTGAGCAGCTATTTGGGTATAAGATTCAGTCACTTAAAGAACCCCAGCCATAAATATTCTAAAGGGGTTACCATTTGTCATTTTGCCTCCTAGTCTGAGAAGACCTTCAAATAAATAACATAAAATGTCAGTGCAGATAACGACCCAGATAATGTGCTTAGCCCAGGCTGGACTTCCCATAAGAGAGGCAGGAGCTGCAAGCGAACAGACCCAGAACATGTTTGGGAAAAGGTGTTTGACACGGCAGTGGGTAGAGGGTGGCCAACAGGGAAATCCATTCAAGCTGTGGGACGCATCAGGAACTGTACGGTTAACAGAGGTCTATTTCTTGTAGACATTTGGATAATACTGACAAATAGAATAAACCAACTTTCAAATGGCCACTGGCAGGTCTCCTCCAATCTGTGTTTATTCAAATAAAATCAATGTGGGGGAAAAATCAACTTGTCATCAAACCTGAATTTCCAAACCAACATGATAAACTGATTTCATTATCAAGTTAGGAAGTCCTCTCGCATGACATTCACTGTTGTCAACGTCACACTCGTCTATCAGCTGAGTATGTTTCAGCTCCTGGATAAGCACAACATAGGCAGGAGGACTGCAAGGATCCCAGCCTCCAGAGCTCCTTTTCGGCTTCAGTATCAAAGAAGATAATTATGCAGTAGCCGAAGTCCATGATAGGCTCTTGGAAACGAGACTTGAAGTGAAACGACATAACAAAACCCATTTTACCTTAAAGTAACTGATTAAACAAGTGTTAAGTTCTTCTGGCATATTTCTGGTCACAGAAACATCACTAAACTTCTAAATAGAGACCCAAACATTTCTAATATTAAACATTCAAATAAATGTGAGCTATACATACATTAATGAAAAATTAATTAAAATAAATAAAATAATCCTTTTCTAACTTGCTGATTCTTGTTCAGGGTCACAGGTAGCTGAAGCCTGTCCCTGAAGCTCAGACTGCAGGAGGGACCCACCCTGCAAGACACACTTCCATCACAGGGCCACGCACACACACCCACACTCACTCCAACTGGGACAGCTGAGGAGAGCCAGTTCCCCTCACACCTAGGTCTTTGGGATGTGGGAGGAAACCACAGCATCTAGAGAAAACCCACGCGTACCTGGGTAGAATGTGCCAACTCCACACAGTCAGTGGCCCTGTCTAGGAATTATTGGGTTTTTTTTTCTCATCAACATCATACTGAAACAAACTTGAACCAAATGACATTATTCCAGGAGCTGCTCAGTACTTGGGGTGCTTTAACTTTACTGGTGTAAGATATAAAAGGCCACATAAACATCAGACTTTTGAATATTAAAAATTAAAATCTCTAATCTTTATAAACCCCTGGTGTAGCTCTTAGCAGATTTAGTTGAAACAGACTGGAATTTTCAGATTCTAAGTAATCCATTTATATATTTCAGTACATTGGAAATAAAGAAGAAATTTATATGCTGAATCATTAAAAATTAGATCCTTTAAAACTAAATTGCACCATCAATCAAAAGTTGCTATAGAAGAACTCCCCTTCCAAGGTACTAATCAGTGTCATCAGAGATAATGAGAAGAACCAGAACTTGGCTGAGACATGGCATTTGTAATGTATCGAGGTCCTGCAAATAGAATCACCACGCTAGTCTAAACGAATGTAAATGCCGCTAGTCTAAACGAATGTAAATGCCAGCTGCATATTTAGTCATCAGTAGATCTCTTGTAGTGTCTGCCCTGAGTCCCTGCGTGTGGTTTGGAGCAGGACTCTCTTTAGGATGCATGATCCATGCTGTTACCCTGAAGGGACCTTCACCCACTGCAAACACGTCTTCCCCTTGAAGTTAACAAGCACACTGACTAGTGAGACATGGAAACTGCAGAGATAGTCTATGCATGCAATCTTCCCCTATAGCCCAAACTGTGGCTTCAGTCAGCGACATCTTCATATATATACCATGATTCAATTTGAAAATAGGCAGTAGAATAATACAGCAAAAAATAAGGTTTATAAAACAAAAAAAGTAAGTCTCTGGCCCTGGCCAGTGTGGCTCAGTTGGTTGGGCATTGTCCCATGAATGGAAAGTGTCACTACTTCAATTCCCAGTTGGGGCACATGCGTAGGCTGCATGTTTGGTTCCCCAGGGCATGTGCTGAAGGCAACCAATTGTTTCTCTCTCTCACATCGATGTTTCTTGCCTTCTCTTTCTCTCTCTTCCCCTCTCCATAAAATCAAAAATAATTTTTTTTAATAAAAGTGAATCTCTGTAAGACATCTTTGCTGAATGGCACATGGTATGTTTTTACAGAATCACAACTACAAACCTGGAGGGAGGGTCAGACAACCTGGAAGAGCAAATCTACAGCAGTCTGAGCTAATTCCCTGGCTATACGGTGGTAGGAAGAGACAATTCCAAACAGACTTGGCAAGCAACTTCTTGAAGGTTGTCCTGTTTAAAACCCATGAATGTTGATGATAATTTCACCTCAGAGCTATAAAAAATTTTTTCTAAGTTGGCCTATTATGATTTGGTTTAGATTCTGTTCAAACACACCATTTATAATAAAAGTCCTCAGATACTGGGGTGGACAAGAATAGGTTTACAGTTGTTCATATGGAAAAAATGTATAATACAAGAATAAATAATAGTGCAAAACTAAACTCTATGTTTTGTGAATTCACAACTGTAAGCCTACTTTTGCTCACCCCTGTATTTCATTCCTGTGGGCATGTTTTAAATAGTGGTGGAGCAAACTGATCAGTGCTATAGACTAAATGTGTATGCCCCCCCAAAACTCATGTTTAAGCTCTCATCTTCAAAGCAATGCTGTTTGGAAAAAGGGCTTTTGAGAGGTAATTAGGCCATAAGGGTGGAGCCCTTAGGAACAGGATTAGTGCCCTTTCAAGAAGAAACATGAGAGAGATGATCTCTGTTGCCACCATGAGAGGATACAACAAGAAGATGGTTATCGATGAACCAGGAAGAGGGCTCTTACCAGGAAACCAATTGGCTGGCACCTTGATCTTGAACTTCCCACCTTTAGAACTGAGAGAAGTAGATTTTCTGCTGTTTTAGCCATGCAGTCTATGGTGTTTTGTTATGGCAGACTGAATGAAACATTTGCTGGGATAGTGCCATTGGAACTTATCAGAAGCTCCCAGTGGAAGCAAACACCGCCTTCTAATAGCCTTGGTTGTGGAATAGATCACAGTTCTCAGGCTGAGGCCTCAGGACGCTTTGCGCTGACTTGCCCAGGCCTGCTCGGGACCACCCCATCGCCCATTTTCCACCCTCTTTCCAGGTCTTGCCAAGGAACTCAGTGGCCTCCTACAATTCCATACTCTGTGGCATCAATTTGAACATTTATGAAGAAAAACCTTTGGAAATGCCCAGTCCATTAATTCCACAATCTATCATGTGCCAAGCATCTGGAGGGGCAACAGGGATAAAAATGGTGGAAAAAGAGACACGGTTCCTTCATACACTCTAGTGAGCAAGTCAGACACTGTCTTGGGATGGCAACTCTATGTTTTCTCTTAAAACCTAAGGCTACTATATCAGTCCTCTCCCAGACTGCACTGAACAGCTTCTGGAAGCCTCACTCATTGTACCTGTTTCCATCTAACTTTCCTCATGCTCCTTCCCCCTTCTCTCCAGTCCTCCCTGAGACTGATCTTCAGAGGCATGAGTGGTCCCCTTTAGGGACCTGATGGTCACTTCCCTGCCTTGACCTTATCTGATCACCTGGTAACACAGCTTACAGTGATCACTCCTGAATCTGACACCTGCAAGGCCAGCTCTTCCTTCTCAGTCAGCTCTCAGGTTAAATGTCACCCCCTGGGAGAAGCCACCCCCTGCTGGCCAACTATAGGAGCTTCCCTGGCTCTTGCCACCTATCACTGTCTTCACACCCACTGCTTAAAATTAAACTTGGTATCACCTTTTTCTTGTTGTCCTTGGTAGTTGGTTTGTTACCTGCTGTCCCCATGAGGGTAGAAACTTCTGGGATAATATTTCACTCAGCCATGTCCTCTAACAAATTTCTTTGTCTTACATTATCCAAATTAAAACTTGCCAAAAAATACTTATTTTATGGTAGGTTAAGGAGAAGTACTTAAGAAATCAGACATTGTTTTTCTAATTAATATTATGAGTAATAGGAGTGAAAGAAGAGAAATTTCAGATTTCTCAAAGAAGCACAGAGGATAAGGAAGGACAATAAGGGAGAGCTCCTACCTGTGGCCAAGTAGATGGTGTGGATGAGGGCATCCCTGCCCTGTACCAGGTCGACGGCCACGTGGGAAAAGCGGCTATTGTCCTCCATGAAGGAGGGCACTGGGGTCACTGGCTGCACCACCTCATGCATCAGTATGAACTTCTGGGCATCCTGCAGGTTCCGTTCTGTCAGGTTCACGTACATTCCCTGGTCCACCGTGCCACACTGCAAGGGAAAACAGGCCATTGCTGGAACCAGCCACCTGGGCACCCACTGACCCTAGCCACCCAGCTGGAGGCTGACTTGGAAACTGAATAACTAAACTGTGCAAACATGCCTGCTACTCCATGGTCCCCAAAGTCCCCACCCTAGTGTCTCTTCTCATTTTATAGTTGAATTTATATTTGAGGAGTCTCTCAACTTCATCATAAGTGGATGATCAGAAGTTAAAAAGAATAAATGAAGTGGAAGTCATTGCTAACTTTAATTTGAACAGCACATGCATAAAATTTCCGTATCGTCTGCTGAGTCACTTGGGAGCCCTCCAACTAAATGCATAGTCTTTTATCTGTCTGACAGTTCAAATACCCAAATTGAAAATGCAGCCATCAAATACATAATACAAATTTATTTGTTTTTTTAAATTGGAGCAGTGGGTCCATAAGCAAGACATGGATTCCATGGGGATAGAATTAGGTCATTTTAATATGAAAATGATATAACATTATTCTAATATCTTTCATATGGGCCATAAGAACACTGTGATGGCCTTATTGTTCTACTTTCATATTCAAAGCTGGACAAAAAAAAAGTTTGTTTAGAGTCTAGGAAGATGAGAAATAACATGGTGAATTTGAAAAAAAAAACCTAGGGGAATAGAGATAAAAGAAGTAAGGGAGGGTGATGAGGAGAGAGAAAAGTGTGAAGGAGGACAGAAAAGGAAGAAAGGGAGGGGAAAAAAAGAAGAAAAGAGATGTTCAGATTGAGGAATTATATGAAGATGACTCTGGGACATACCAGGGAAAAATCAGCTTAGAAATTGCTGACAGTTAAATTCAGAGCTGTGTTGCGAAGAGGCCGGGAGGTATCATCTGCGATGAATTTTGGCAAGAATGAGATAGAAAGGTGGGTAGAAAAGAAAGCAAAGCTTTTCTGGGACAGAGCATAGAATCAGAAAATTACCACCGGCCTTTCTCATTCCTCTCATAAACTTTAAATCCTGGTACCAGTAAAGGCCGATCCTCGGCAGAACTCCAAGTCAGTCAGTCAGATGGACACATACCATCTGAAACTTCCATTTATAACATGCCATTTCTAATACTTGGGTTTATAACAGGTTAGAGGTGCAAAGTGTAAGATGGAAACTGCTTCATTTAAAACAGATGTTATTTTTGCAGCACTGGATAAAAAACCCTACGCGCCATAAAATGATAGGCTGGTTGTAGCATTAGAGAATCTTAGAATGGAATACATTATGAGCACGGCCAAATGTTTTATTTAAAGTCACATCCTTGCAGGGGCACCTTGGGTGCCAGGCAACGAGACCACATGCAGTCAGGTGAAGGACTCAGCTTGGCTAACAGGAGCCATGTGGTCTCAGGTGAGGCATTGCTTCTCAGCTTCTATATCTGCCTGTGAAGTGACTAGGAAAACTGCTCACTTCCCAGAGCTCTGTGAGACCCACTGAGATAACCAGCAGAGAGCATTTGTAAATTAATTACAAGTGCTTGTAAATGCCAAGGCACGAGACAGCGTGCCTGGCACAGTAAATAAATGGTCAATGCACTCATCTGGTAGCAGAACAGCAATTCTATGGTTCATTGAGCTGCAGTGGCCAGAGGGAAATGAATGAATAAGTAAAGAAAGGAATCAATGGGTGAATACACCAGCAGTTGCTATTCAGCCAGGGGGGCTGTGCTAGGCGATTTTACATAATTATCGCCTGTAGTCTTAACACTTGGGGGACAGGAACATTCCTGTTAACCAATGTGGTACGAAATGAAAGACAGCTCTACTGGACTTGGTCTGAAGTCCATGCAGATGAGTTCTAGTCCTGAGAATGACTTTATGTCTGAGTTTGCTCCTCCTTAAATCAATGGCAGCAGTTAAGGTACAGATAGCAATTAGTTATCTGCCTTCTGGGTGAACTTTTGCACACAAGTTTTTGTTTTGCATGCGCAGTGATTTTTAAAACTTGGCAGCATAGAAATTGGAGGTGCACAGCAGGAACAATGACCACCCCCTGCTGTTTTATTCCTGGGGTCTCATTTAAGTCATAGACTTTAATATTGTCATTTATAGTAAGAAAAATAAATTTAGTCTTCTTCCTATTTCTGGCACAAGCTCCTAAAACCCTAGGAATTTCCCAAGTGGTGACTGGGGTAAATATGTCTTTTGTTATGTTGATGAGATGGCTTTAGGACAGCATTGTAGGATGTGGTCTGGTTGCCAGAGGAAAAGACCCTGTGATTAGAAGGCTGGAACTTTCGGTCCCACAATCCTCTTGGGAGGGAAGAACTGCTGGGGATTGACTTCAATCACCAATGCCAAAGATTTATCAATTAAACTTACGTAACAACACCTCCATAAAATCCCCCAAAGCCCAGGTTCAAAAGCTTTGGGGTTGTTGAGTGAGTGGAAGTGCTGGGAGAGGGATGTGTTTGGGGAGGGCAGGGCAGCCCTACAGCCTCTCCCCACACCCCACCCTGTGCATCTTTTCACCTGACTGTTCCTGAGTTACGTCCTTTTATAATCAGCTGGCAATCTAGTAAAATGTCTGAGCTCTGTGAGCCAGGCTAACAAATGAACAGAAAGCAAGGAGAAAGTTGTTGAAGCCTCCTGTCTACGGAGTATTGGTCAGAAGCAAGGATGACAACCTGGACCTGAGAATGGCATCCAAAGTGGAGATGGAAGGGTTTACCTGTGAGAACTGCTGCTATTTCTGAGTACATAGTGTCAGAATTGAGTTGAATTGCAGGACACCCAGAAGGTGTTGGAGAATTGCCTGGAGGCATGAGAAAAACTCCCACACACTGGAGCTGAGTGACAAAATCATTATTCAAGAACTGGTTTTAAACTACATTCTACAATGTCTTGGTTTCTTTTTGCAGCCTATAATGAATATCTCACCCAAGGAGTCTTTTCCAATTATTTTGAAGGCTATTTAAATTTATAGCACATATTTATTGGATCATAAGTAACCCACAAGTTCTCCAATGAGCTGCAAATTCTTTAGTTGTGCCTTATAAACTGGGCTCCTCCAGTGTCTGTGTGACCCCCTGGGACTCTGTGCAAATGGAAAACAATAAAAATAACAAGAACACAGTTACCATCCTCATATGACTTATAACCCACAATGGTTGTCTTGCTAACACCTCTGTAAGTACTATGGTTAATAATTCTACTAATTTTTAAATACGATACTTGCATTTTAATTTATTTGTTCCAAGAGCAACAGAGCCATCCTCATCCTAACTTATAGGTACTGGGTGGGTGAGTCTCCAATCACCTAAGCTCACGATAACCTTCCTCCTGTCTTGCTGTAAACATGCCTTGTGTATCAGAAGACCCTGTTGACATGGCCAAGTCCCTTAATGGAGTCCTTCAACATCGGCCTTTTCATCTGCTTGGCTGCCATTGAGTTGAGGGTGTATTGTCCATGTCAGCACCATCATTTCTGATAGGCTACAATCAAAACTGCACAGAAAATTCCAGAGTCTGTACAACCACAGCTGTGCCACTGGGTCCGAATGATGTTTTCTGTCAGTGAGCGGGTCTGGGTGACTTTGGGGACCACGGCCTCAAAGAGGATGCAGCTCTACAGCCTCACCTACAGCGGTTTCTAGATGCAACTGGCGAATAGTTTTCGTTGTTCCATTGTCATTTTCAGTTGAAATTTCTGAATTAAATCTTGAAATATTATGCACTGTCCTCTTACCTAGCCTTCTTTCTGAACTTGAATCATGTTTCCACTCCTCTAATTAATAGCTACTTCTAGTATATAAATGCTGCATAAAACTCCAAATGTTGGTAGGCAAAAAAGAATGTTTAAAAACTGGCCAATTCTCACTGTTGCCTGTTGCAAACATAAGGTCCTATACACATGACTAGTAGAGGGACCCTTAGTTGAAAACCTAGTCCACTCCATGTCAGCTCAGATGTCCCAGGAAAGGCAGTGAGGAAGCCTAAGCTAGCGTGATTTCAAACACAGTAAACCAAAAGAAAACACCTGGAACTTATTTGTACTAGGAGTTGTAAAAGAACCACCATAAGGCACAACTTTAGTTTCCTGCAGATCTTAAATTCCACCCAAAGAAGAAAGCTCAGCTAACCAAGCTTCCTGCCTGAAGTGAAAGCCATGTGTCCACAAGCTTCATTTATTATACCGTAGATTGGACCTACTCCCGTCTCACAAACGTGAGCAAGCCCTTCGGTGTGACTATAAACCCAGTGGCACTGTAAACCCAGATGCCTGTGGCCTTAGGAAATTAGCAGATTTGCTGTGGGCTATAAATATATTCAGATAAAGGAGCTAACTTTACCCACTGTTTGGAGGCGGTAAGACATCACAAAGTCTGTAAGTCACTTCTTTGTGAAGACTTTTGCAACAGTAGCATCAAGAATGAAAAGTACACCATAAACACAGTGAGCATCCTTGTTAAGAATTTTTAACCTGCAGGATTTTGCAATGGACTTTTGCAAAGGGAATGGTATGTTTTACCTTCAGGGTTTTACCAAGGGCCTTCATCTGGACATGGGTGGGATTTAGATACAGAGACTCAACAAAAAGGCCAAGTGTCAGTGTTTAGTTAATAGTTACATAAGCCAAACACATCATCAGGAAAATTGGCTAATGCCTGTTCTGTCCCCACTAAACTGTTGGCTCACCTGACCCACAATAAGGACTTTCTGTCCGGTACTGAACTTTCTCGTCCGCAAGCCTGGGGTGGGAAATGTGAATCTGATCCCTCAATTTCCTGACTTACCAAGTGTGGATACAGAGCCCACCTTACAGAGTTGGGAGGAGAAAGGCAAAGTTTATAAAGCATTCACAACATGTGGCACCCAAGAGGCACCCAAATAAGTGGTCCCTGAGAGTCATCTTCCCCAGGTACATTACAGAATAAAGAATGCATGTTGACTGATGTTATCAAAATGTGCTCCTAAGGTATAGATGCCGGTGCATGTGTTTCTCTCCTTCCTCATTTCATGGATGGAAATATGAGATGGAAGATGCTACGTGATTTGTCCAAGTAAAGCAGGAAATGGTGAAAAGGACGTGTAAGCCACCCTTCTTATTCTCAATCCCTTTCTTTTTGAAAAGTTTCAGAAAGCGTTTCAAAGCAATTAGAAGTGAACAGTTCCCTTCTTTCTACCCCTTTCCATCACCCACAAATATGAACAATGGTGTGAGGATTGACAGTGGAAAGGCAAGGCAGGGGGGAGGGGGACAAAGGGGGAAAAAGTGAGACAATAGTAATAGCATAAACAATTAAAAAATTTCGAGAGAATTGAACAGTCCCTGTTGAAGTCCAAGTAAAGCGTAAAACTTTCCCATATCCCCAGTTTTCTCAAAGCCAAAGGTTGTATGTGTTGAGTTGATAAACCAACCAGAATTCTGAGGCCTGGATATGGGCCCAGGTCGGCCCTGATTCAGTCCGGTAACTAACGGTCCTTTAGTGGGAAGGGGCCAGAGCGTTGCATCTGGAGACCTGCACTGGGCATCTGAGAGACTGAGATCCCGGCTCAGTCACTCATCCCCAGTGTCCGTGGCAGGACCCCCTGCCCTGGAAATGTTGCTGGGGATCAGAGCACTGCTGCCAGCAGGTGACATAACACAGCACAGTTCTGAGCCCAGGAAATGGGTGGCACTAAACACACACCCACGAGGATGAGGATGTGCCTGTGATGGTCTTTGTCAGAAGAGTGGCCCTCAAAGGAAGCCTGCTGCTGTGAACTGAATGTGTCTCCTGCACATTCTTATGCTGAAGCCATAACCCTTGGTGTGGCCGTATTTGAAAATGGAGCCTGTGAGGAGGCAATTCAGGTTAACTGAGGTCATAAAGGTGGGTGGGGCCCTAATCCCTCAAGGTTCAGTGTGTATCCAGGCACAAGTCAGTGTCTCTCCAGGTGCAACAAGGAAAGGCCACGTGGGGACACAGCTGGAAGGAGGCTGCCTACAGGCTGGGGAGACTGATCTCACCAGAAACAGAATCGGCTAGAACCTAGATCATAGACTCCAGCCTCCAAATGGTGAGAAAATCAATTTCTTTGGTTGGAGCTGTCTAGCCTGTGGCATTCTGTGATGGCAGGCCAGCAAACTCATATGCTTGCTGACCAACCAACCAAGAGTAAATCGCTTCATCTCTGTGGGTCTCAGCTTCCGCTGCATGTTGGGAGACGGGAATAAATGACATACAGGGCCTCTCATTGGTGGGACAGCCTATCATTTTGAGATTTATGAATGAGTGGCCTGCAACTGTTCTCCTTTCTGCACAGCTGCTCCATGCCACCCCATTTACCTCAGAAGGAAATCTCACCACATTCGCCAATTAGCACTCTAATGCTGTTTTTGCATTTCTGCCATGGTGCTGGGAGCCCATTCACCAGAGCATCATTCATTAGGGATCAGAGCTTCTGAGGATAGAGTCCACCATCGTTAGCGCTAACTGGAGCGTGGTTTCTCAACCTGCTACCTTACGCTGGCCTTTTCCAGTTCAGCCTCAGGCACCACAGCTGACAAAAGTCTCTTTTTGGTCCTGGCCCCTCAGTTGACAAAGGGCTCAATCTATATCCACATGAGCCAAGCCCAGTGTGAGACTGTGCCGGAGGGGTCTGGGAAGCCCACAGATGCCTGTGCAGACATTTGAGGTTTAAATAGTCCCAGCCTGTCTCCCAGAAAGTATCAGCATGCTTTAGAGGGGGGTGACCAGGTTAGTGCCCTAAAGCCCCAAGACATTACCTGGAAGTTGGGATTGGGGTTGGGATACGGCAGCCAGGCAGAGCGTGAGTTCTCCTGGTACTTGAAGGGCCCGTTAAAAGCCTGCGAGATGGCGCTCAGGTTGAAGACGCACACAGCCGAAGCAGCGATGCTGTTCCTGGGGGCCGAGGAAGAGAAAGGAAAAGGAAGGTCAGGAAGTCCCACAGTCACTAGTCTCTCCCCGCAGTGGGAGAGACTGCAATGGGACGCTGCCTGGTGGGAGCACCTTCTAGAGAACCTCAAGACCCCAGCCTCATGAACACCCCAAGGGAGAGATGGGAGCCATGAGCACTGCCCCCCTGTGATGTCTCTGTGGAAGAACAAATGCTTCAGCACAGAAACAAGGCTGCTTAGCAGTTATGACACTCGTAATCCTGCTGGATGGGATTAATTCACTCAGCTACAAGCAGACTGACAAAGGATTTTGAAGAGCCCTGTGTTCTGCCTTTTAAGTTCTGGAGGAAACAGCCTTTCTCCGCCAGTGGCTGGCACCTCCCATCTGTCGACATGCCCCCCCCCCCCACATATCTGGTTACTTCAGCAGGCACTGGGACAAGCGGCTGCTTTTTTATAATCCCCAAATATTTGTGTTGATTTGTAAACCTTTAAAAAATAATCAACAAAAAGCATTTTGTACAAAGTGCCTGTCAGACACCCTTCATATATCCATTTGATAATTTAAAAGGGTGAATGGGAAAAATTGGAGAACAGTCTGGCATCGTGAAGTGGTGATTTAGAATTCAAGCTCTGCAGATATGCGGGGGTGCAGGGCCCTGAGAAGCTCGGTGACCTTCCACAAAGTGCAGAGACAGCAAGACATATTTTGGTTAAATAAATCTGCATTTGGATCTTAGCTTTGGCTTTAAATTTTCTTGTTAATAGTCTTAGCCAGTATAAGTTGATTTATCATTCTCCCATAGCCTGAATCAAAGGATAGTTCACAGGAACTCAAAAACAGAAATATCTGCCTTACACTCAATTTATTTTGACAAACAGACTTGTTGTTAGACGCCGTTCTAGAGGCTGTACACATTTCAATTCACTTCATCGTCCTGAAGTAAGGGGCAATCACTGATAAGTAAAATGGGCCATAGCTAGGTCAACACGTCTGTACAAAGTCACCCAGCTACTACATGAGGGGATTGGACTTGAACTCCTGGCAGTCCTGCTCCAAAGACCAGGACTTTGAACTCTTCGTAAGTGTCCTGTGTGGAAGGCATTAAAACCACCCCATGGGAATGTAGGAGCCTTGAGGGCAGGGGCACGTGCTTCTTCTGGAAGCTCCAGAAGAGAGGGGAGAGTGGCAGGAAGCAGGCCTATCTCTATTGCGGGGGAATAAAGTGATAGATGCTAAAATTGAACCTATACATTTGGTGGTTTTTATTCCGTCTTATTTTTCCCCTGGAAAAAAGAACATATTAAGTCAAAGAATGCAAGAAAGAATTACCCTCTGAATGTGTGACTGGATCTTAGGAAGAACAAAAACATGACGATGTTGGAACAAGAACAGCAGCTGGCACAGCAGGGTGTCTACCAGGGACCGGGTGAGGCCACCTTTGATTGAGGAGGAGTGTTAATAATGGTAATATAATAAGTCCTCCGGAGCACTCTGCTAAGCACTTCATAAGGGCTACCTCATTTCTCACAGGGACCCTACGGATGCTGAGACCAGCCTGCGTGTACAGACAAAGAGATGGAGGCACAGGGAGGTCACTTAATGCCAGTCACTGGCTGAGGGAAGCAGAAGTTGTACTTGCTTTGCATGGGGCCCCAGAGTTCCTGTGCATGACTCCATTGCTGTGTTCCCTACCCTTCCTGCTGGCACCCCATTTCTCAGATGGCTGCATCTAGTCACTCAGAATAGGGCTGGGCACACATCTGGGGTCAGCCCAAAGTCCCTCTGGGTGCCCCAGTGGCAGCCAGTCTAGACATCTGTGACAGTTGCTGGGGTCACTTCTTTTTCAACCTTCTTGGGGAGCAGAGCACCCCTGGAGCAGGGCACACACACACGCACACACACACCCTCCTACTTCCCTTATGCTCTTGTACTTTCAGTGAGGTGAGGGTGGGGGAGCAAGGGCACAAATGTCTCCACTGTGGTCCTTCCTCCCCATTTCTCTGGGATAAGCCTGCCTTCCAAAATTATATACCCACCTTTGTCTCATCATTCCTGCAGACGGCAGGGGTCAGTCCAGTTCTAGACTATTGTGACCTTGTGGATGAGCCTCCTTGAAGCTGGGATCACGACTCATAAGCCCATATGGAGAAGAGACCATCAACCTGGCCTCCCTCAGGAATCACACGGACATGCTGGGGCCTTCATTTAATGCTAAGTTTTATTCCTTCACTTGTTCAGAGCCCAGGTGAGTAAAAGTGGAGAGAGATGAGCCCCACAATAGAGGAACATAATTATGTTTATAAGGAACATAAAGTTTGCTTCCTTAGACCACGGAAAGCCACAGAGAGAAAAGTAGACATGTTCCTCCCTTCAACGCCTAAGGAGAGAAAAGATAGCACAACCTTCATGGTTCCCCGCCCCTACTCCTACCATTCACTATTTGTAAGCCACCATTTTTAGAAATCCCAGAAAACAAAAGCAAAACCTTCGGAAACTCCATTGCAATAATATGCCATGTCCTGCAGCCCAACTCATGCCCACGGGATTGAGGAAACCACAGTCAACAGAACAAAGGGAGTTAGAATAGTGACCTGTCTCCCAACTCCCCAGTGTTCAGAGACCTTGACATGAAGAATCTAACTAAAAGTATACTATGAGCAAAAGCGCCAGAAAGCTTAGTCCCAGCATTTGCTAAGCATGTAATCCAGAATTAGGAAATAACTAGCTACCTCTGAACATCATTTGTTTCAGTTTACAACAGAACTTGTCCAGAATATGGCCATCAGTTGAGAGGGTGAGATCAAGGCTGACAGGTGAGGGTGAGAAAAAGTTGGACACACTGTAGGATGAGAGATGGACATACTGAAAGTTGTGCTGAAGACCTAGTGAAAGTGAGTATTCAATAGAGAAAGGAAAGATCTAGAAATTCTGCCTCTGCTAGTACAGATGCTATATACTGGGTGATTTCCAACATGATGGGTGTTCACAACAACAAAACAAATTATCTGGAATGGTCTGAAACTAATTTTTGAAACTATCTAAACTGACCACGTACCATCTGGGGATGGACTGGGCACAGAACTTACATAACTTCTTAAATTGTTCATTTTAGCTCAGAGCCAGGGGAATGAACAGCTAACTAAGCCAAATTCCCACTGTGGCTAAAACTGATGTCAACCGAACAACTGAACATCCATCTTGTGCAGTCTACGCTATTTCTTAAAAAAGGTTCTGGAAAGCAAATCAACTTCAGAAACTATAAATTGATTTTTTAAAAGAAACTTATCACAGAGGGAAAATAACCTCTGGCTTGAAAACCAGATTTACAATAAAGATGGTCATGGTGGAGCGGGGGTGGCTGGGAAACCATCCATTTTTGTCTGATTTTCTATCTTCATGTCAGAAAGAAGACTTTTCATGGAGCAAAGGTTATTATCAAGTGAATGTTAACACTTCAGCTCAGCAGTGGAAAGATCAGAAGAGAAAGATCAACAGGGAAGTAAGACACAGATAAAGTGACTGGAAATGCAATCCATGGGCAGGCTTTGGAGGCGAGGTGGAAGAAATGAGAAAGTAAAAAGACCCAGAAGCCCAGCAGCCACCACCCAGAACCAAGGGGTTTCTTGGGAAGCAGCAGGGCCGCCCCCAACTTTAAAACCAGGAAAACCCTGGACAAACCCCGATGCTTGGCCATCCAACCCCATTTATCAGCTATTTCAACCCATCCTGAATCACATCCTTTATTTTGCATACAATTATTGGGCTTTTGTCCAAACTGTCAGGTTAACAATTTAACGATTTCAAAGATGATCCAAACCAGAACCCGTGCTGCAGAATCATCATCATCACTGGCAATGCTGAGAAAAGTGGAGGCTAGTGGCAATGTGACGTGTGATTCCTGGGGCTGGGATGATCTTGTTGACTCTTACACAGCTTATCAGCTAAAAATGGAAAATGAGTGTGGGGTCATGCTACAGTCCGTCAGATTAGACCGAATGGATGAGCTTCATGCACTTTACCTAATACGAATACTGTCAGTTATGAAGCTAAGAGCATCTGCCCACGAAAGGAAAAAATGCTATTCTCTTTTCAAAAATATTTTAAAACCATAACCGTCATTTTAGAAATACCTGCCTACAACAGCCATCTTCTAGAACAAGGCTTAAAAATGCCACTCTGGGAAAGTGAGAATGTGCATTTCCTATGTAAGCAGCGGTTTAGTCAAGAGTTGCATTATCTCAAAGATTAGACTTTCCAGACAATAGTGCTTTTATTATGCGCAGATGCACAACTTGCATACCGAGAGCAAAGCACGCCTAACACATACCAGCATTTCAGAAAGCACTGAGAACACCCTGGCAAAGCAGGAAGGAACATTTCATGGTAGAACAATTTGAAGCTACTATTCCAATAAGGATAGACCAAACCTTCTGACTAATTTTATTTTCCTAATACCAGTCTCAGAAATCACAGATCTAGGCATAACATTTAATTCACACTCAAAAAAAATTTTTTTGGCTGTTAGCCCAGTAAAATAAGAAAGATTCCTTTTTAAAGCTACTTTTAAACCACAACGGTCAAAAAACAGTAGACTCATTCAGAATGAGTAGAAGGGCAAGAAAAGCAATTATCTGCAGTTACGTACACGTTGGTGGTAAAGATGCCGTAGATCAAGTCCAGCTCAGGCAGGAAGAAAGTGCTCTGCAGTTCATTGTAGTAGAAGGGGACCTCGCCGGGGCGGGAGCAGTTCAGGCGGGCCTTCATGAACGTGGTCCAGGTGTCCTCCAGCAGGAACCGCCCCCCAATGTCGTTCTTGCAGACCCGGGCAGCTCTGGAGAACACGGTCTTCCCACAGTCATGCTCCACAGCATTTTCTCGGAAAAAGAAGTAGGTGAAATTCCCAATGTCGTAAGATGACACAAAGTTTGGCTCTGGAAACAACAGGAAAGAAGAAAAGTCTTAACATCCACGTGCTAGTTCTTTATGTCTTGCCTGTTCGTTATTTCCTCGAAGGAGACTTGGTTCTGTGTAGGCATCTTACAGGAGGAATGGGAGGCCCTACGAGCATCTTAAGGGCAGTTCTCATCACACAAGTTCTCAGTGACCAGAAATCACCACAATAATTTCACAGGGGAGCATCCTAAGTTAGTTCAGGGACAAAGAAACATGCCATTAATACCATAAAAAATGGACAGCAAAGATATGCTATCTACTTTAGAGCAATTCCTATTACTTTATATATAATACAAGATTATATAATCTTACATAACCTTCAGAGAGACAAAATAAGATTAAAAAGATAAAATGTGATTCAGAATACAGGGTAGGGCAAAGTAGGTTTATATTTGTGTTCATGCAAAACAAAGTTTATACTTATATTATTATTTATTAGTTATTGTATATGTTTCATACAAACAACTGTACACCTACTTTTCCCCCATCCTATACACAAGTCTAGTATCATGTTTGTGTAATAAGACGACAAAATCCTTTGATTTTGCTCATATACACATGTTGGCTGATATAATTTAGGTGCTTTTGATAAGGACTATAAAAATGTTTTTCATTTGTGAAAACTGAAATAAAAACTGAAATGTAAGGTTAGGGTCCTGAATGAGCCTTAGCAATTACTCCCATTACTATGGTAACCACATAACTGTGAGGATTAACCCCTATTTTTTTTTCTGGGTTGCCAGAGAATCCATTTAGAGAGAAGCATTATATTGAAGCAGAATTATTGACCCACGCCATTTTGATCTCATAATTAGCTTAAAAAGAGAGATTTAAAATGACAAAAATATGATAGAACCTTTACTTAATCATCAAGCTCACGAGGAACTTAGGAATTACATAGATTGTCCACTGAATTCTATATACAGTATTGAAAGTATTATCTTTATAACTCTCTATTTAAGCCCATCCATAACGCAGATGATATCCTTTCAGACACAGACATGCACTAATAATCATCTTTAAAAACTCTAATAAACAGGTTTGATTGTTATTCTTTTCTCTATTGCTAAGAATTTTCCATTTAATCAGCAAGTGTTTGACTTTTATGGTGCCATTAGAATAACAGAGCAATAACTTTGGGTTTCGAAATTAATGGAAAATACACACTACTATTCATAAGAACACATTTCAGAGATAATTAGTTTTGGGGGACAATTCAGTGGGCCTTGTACTTCACCAGATTCAATCAGAGTGCACCAGTAGACATCGTCAGGACAACTAAAACTACCGTATTTTACTGTGTATAATGCATACTCATGTTTTTGTGTGCATTATACATGGGATTATGATAACCATTATTATACCCCTGTATAATGCACAGCCTTATTATTCCCTCAAATATTTGGGCAAAAACGTTGGCATTATACACGGCAAAATACAGGCTGGTTGGCTACAACACGACCCATAATGTTAAGAGTATGACACACAACAGGCTCACCAAAGGTCCGAACTGTATCCACTGATTCAGAGGCTGGCGTGAAGGTGGCAGGGAGCACTCTACTGTTCCGTCCAGAAAGGCGGTGCTAGTTTTCCACTCAATGCCCTCACAAAATACTTCAATTGAACTCAACTTTACGGTCTAAAAATGTAACAAATATTCTAAAGTGTACACGCAATGTGATTTTGTTTCAGTCCATTATACTGTTCTTAAGTCATTAGAGAATATTAAGTAATACAAAGAGAATTTGATAGGAAATGATTTTAATTTTAAACTGCTAAACATACTAATAGACCACTGTTTGTTTCAACCTGAAGTGGATACTTAAAAAAACAAACAACAACAACGAAAAAAACCCACAACCCCAGAATGCATTAAAATGCATGAGATGGAGTTAAATACATTCACCGTTATAGCATGCTGTTAGATCCTGGAGGCTACATATCTCTGACTTGTGTTTTTTTGGAAAATAAAGCAAAATACTGAGAGAATTTTGAATCTGTGTTCACAATTACTCTCCAAAAGAGAATTATTTCTAAAGCAAACCCCAAAAGCCAAGATATGGAGCAATGACAAATTATGTTTGGTGTATAAAAAAATAGACACCTATATGTCTAATTCTAAATAGAGGCTAAATCATTTCAGAATAGATCCTGCACCCAGGTTCCTACATCTAGGCCACAATTAGATCATTATACTGAAAAGAAAGAAAAGAACACCATCGTCACCAATAACAACAACAACAAACCTTATCTTAAAAAAGAGAACACAAAGAACGAAGGCCCAGGACTGGATGGGTCCAGCCCAGGACTACATTTTCCAGCACATATCGATGAGGTGTGAGCAGAGGAGACCGCAAGTCTTATCAAATACCCTCCCAACGGACCACTTCTGCTACCAAGCTGGGGACAGAGAGCATGGAAACCACATAGCAGATATCTCTGGTATGTAGGGAGGCTCAAGCAGGAAAATGAGAAGCGGCAAAGGTAGGAAGATCAGTCATGGTTTTCCCAGGTCGAGGTGGGTCTATAGTTTAAGAATATCTGTAGCCAGCCAATGCTGCTGTGCTGGACTCTGAGCGCAGTGCTTCACATTCATATGCTAATTAAATTCACAGGAATCATAGAGGTAGATGTGGGTCATTCTTCCTGTGTCATAGACAAGACACTAAAGCAGAGAGGTCTAATCATCTGTCCAAGTTCACACTACTGGCCGTGTGGGGCAAAGCCCCTGAATCCAGATAGTCTGACCATATGGCCTTTACACTTATCTCTACACTACACTGAAAAACGTAATGGACAGCACCAGAACAATCGATTATGTTAAGGATATTCAAGAAAAGGAGGGGAATCTTGAAAAATGCTTTAGAAACCAAAGCAGTGAGCAGGGGTACTCCGGATCACAATGAGGGGGGTCTTATAACCTAGTAGAGGGGAAGACAGAGGCCCAGAGGGAATTTGGCCTTGCAACTTTTAGAGACATCAGGAATGGCACAGAAAGAAGAAAAAGCAGAATGACCCAAGAACCCAAGCAAGAGCTTACAAAACAAGAATCTTACTGGGAAGTGACTGCCCCACCCCCAGAGATGGTATTGCACACAGCTGCCACTATAGCCCCAGAATGACCCTGGGTGACTGGTGGGGCATCAAGTTCATGTTCATTGTCCAGTCCACTGAACAACCTTATTCAGTTTCTCACGTAAGAGGACACAAGGTAAAGTCAAAAAGATTGGCCTGCAGCTTCCTCTTTCCACAAAGAATCCCTAATACCTCGTCAAGCCGCCCCACACCAATGCTATAGTGTGACAAGGTGTATTTTACATGGATATGCTCGAACAATTTCCTGTTGAGGAAGTAGAGGAGAGTGTATGCTTAGTGTGTAGTGTATGCTGTTTAGTTCACCACACATTACAGGTCATTTTAGGGGCGAGGCTGCATTTGGCGACACACCCGGCCACCCTACAGGGGTCCTTCGGGATGCTGATGGGTCCCGGACTGAGTGACCTGCCGCAAAGTCAGGAAGCTCCCTGTCTTGGAAAGCAGAGCCTTTTGAAACTCAGCCTGCATCCTGTTTCTTTTCCAAAGACAGCAAAAAAGCAGGAGTAATTGTTAAACAGGCAGCCAAATAAGTCTTGCATTTATAGATATAAATCTGGAGCTAAGGGGATGTTTGAGTCTCAACAGGCAAGATAATAAGATGCATATTGTTTCCTTTGCATTATTCAAGTTCTGTCTTGGGTTAAAATGCAATTCACCACCAACCAGTATCTGTCACTCCTGAGTGAACTAAACAAGTCACAAATCAGGTACTGCCTGATTATCTACAATGCATGTGAGTGTGTGAATGACAAATCTGAGGGATCCTTCATTCATTATCATTATTATTAGAGCTACAATGGAATAGGAGGTGTGTTGCTAATTCAAAATAAAACCGAACAAGAGTATATGTCAGTTTACTATAAATATATGCATGGAGCTGTTTTATCTCACGGTTGTAAAACACTGAGTTCTGCATTACAGTATTCTGCAAAATATGTCATGTTAGAGGAAGACTCGTGTTTTGTGATGTTAAAACTTTGAGTTTACACCTTCACTTACATAAGAATGACCAAGTCAAAATGAACACTGACAGAGGACCCATAATATGTGAACACAGGAAAAACAGAAGCATCAACAATTTTAGGAAGATTTTGACCACATAAAACCACCAGCCGCTGAACATCCAAATGCACCCTCCCCTTCCAGTGCCTACTGCATCAGCCTGGAGGCGCACCCGGTTCAATGAGGTTCCTCCTGATACAGACATATTTGTCTACATCGACGAGAATCAGTATCAAAGACAAAAAAGGAATACCCGTTTTCCAACTTGACCAAAATCTTACTGGAATCAAGACCTATCATAATTTCTCTTGCAGACAAAGGCCATCTTGAGATATGCTTGCCAAAAGCAGGTTGGCCAAGGTATATATGGGTTGTGGCTGCGCCCACCCCAGCTCGAAACCTGGGCTGGACCACTGACTTGTGGACCACTGACATCCTAAATCCTGTATGACTATTCAGGGAATAGAAGAGATAAAGGGGAAAGGTTTGCAGGAACAAGTATAAAGGATGCATAGACAATAACAAGGGGGCAGGTGGAAACAGGAGGGAGGTGAGGAGGGCTGGGGTGTGGGCTGGGATGGGGGTAAAGGGCAGAAAACTGTACTTGAACAATAATTAATAAAATAAAATAAAATAAAGGGCTATTTTGCTGTAAGGATTAAAGAGACGTTTACATAGTAAAATCCTAATGAATGGTGGCTATAATTATTTTATGATTTACTCTTGATTCCCATTTAACAATTTATACTTAGTAGAATTTCATATAATGATAGTCAAACATGCATATATTAAGCTTAAGGGTGATCAGAAATTAAGGAACCTAAATACAGCCATACATGCTGAGATTTGCAAATAGCAAGCTATCCCACCACACCCCTCC